AAGTGCATCAAATGAAAAGATATCCTGACATACAACATAATGTCACACCATGTGTACAGTTTATTATTCCCAGTACCAAAACAGTGGACGTAATGACAATACAGTTGGCAAAGACCAACATATAAAAGATAGACCCTAAAAAGTCATGGGTGAAGAATCACCTTATGTGTATCAAATGAATAGATACCCCGCAGAACCCATAATGACACACTAACCAGTTTCTTTTCCGGAACAATAAGAAACCCATTCACAGTGGGAACATAAAAATATGAATACAGCTGGTCATAACTTGTAACTTTTTGAAAGACAGATCCTAATATGTAATTTATCAGTTTACCAATTGAACAGGTAATTTTCCTATTCAGTTACAGACAGAGAAATGACAAAAGAGATTTTACAACAATTCATGACAATGTTACATTACTGTTTTCACAGCATACATCAAAATAACATCAATGTATGTATCATTTTTTTTACTTATAACATTTGTACAAGTAAGATTTTTGTTCTTAACAAATTGTAATTATCTTTCTCCCTCTACCTTTCAACTCTCATTAGAGCACGTAACCAACCCATGCCAAGTTCTTTATAGACTTGCTGATATCTCCCTGTTACGCTTATATATGTCACACAGGGCCACAGCCAATCTTCTACGTTGTTCTATCCGGTGCCAACCTTTTGATATCATGGACGGAATCTGGTCCTGAACCCACAGCCTCTATCAACAATTTTCATCTTAGGGTTTCTTTTAGATGTCCCCGTTTCTCCAATCCATTTGTTTCTCATTTCAGTGCCTGTTTAGTGAGTCTGTCCAGCTGTCCTTACCACATGCTATATAACAATGCAATCCTCTGCCCTGCATTCCTTCCCTGGACGTTAGGTGTTGAGCAACTCATGCAAAGTCATCTCCTTTGTGTCATGGAGATACATTTGTTTTGAAATCATTTCTCTTCTCCCTTTATCTCTTTTACCCTGTGAGTTCTTGTGATTTTCACATTATACAACTGAAAATATGTCCTTACTATACGTACTACTCTACTGAAAATATATCATTACCATCCGTACTATTCATCTGAAAAACTTTCCTTACAATCTCATCTATACTACTCAACAGAAAATATGTCCTAACCATCTGTACTACTCAACTGAAATATTTTCTTATCATCTGTACTACTCAACTGAAATATTTTCTTATCATCTGTACTACTCAACTGAAATATTTTCTTATCATCTGTACTACTCAACTGAAATATTTTCTTATCATCTGTACTACTCAACTGAAATATTTTCTTATCATCTGTACTACTCAACTGAAATATTTTCTTATCATCTGTACTACTCAACTGAAATATTTTCTTATCATCTGTACTACTCAACTGAAATATTTTCTTATCATCTGTACTACTAACATGAAAATATGTCCTTACCATCTGTCCTATTCTTCTTATTTTCTCATGTCATCAAACCAGCTTATTGCTCAGTGTTGTGGTTTTCTGCATTTGTCTTGCACCCTTTGGGTGGCAGGGATAATGAATTTGTTCATCTTTTTGTAGGTTTAAGCTACACCATTTATCCACCTCTTTCTTGATCCTCTCCTCACATTCCTCCCAGATGTTCTGCTGTAAAAATATCTCATAAGCAGTTTGGTCTGGCTGCATTCTCACTAGGTGGCACCGGGTGTTGTTAGTGACTCTACGTAGACAGTGAATTTTACAGGCAATTATTTTATGTTCCAGTGCTTTATTTATTGTTCATGTTTACGCTGTAATATTCTATCAATTCACAGTCCAATAACACTCCATGTTGTTGGGTCACTAGTTGCTGTTGACAGATGGTCAGGTCAATTGTATCTAATGCCCGAGAATCTGAAGCCTGTGCATGCAGCCTAATTCTGTATCCATGTCTTTCCTGGTCTGCCTCTTCTCCTCTGCCCAGGAGTATAATTGTACTACTCAAGTGAGAACATTTCTTAATCACCATTTATACTACTCTCCCATACCACACAAAACCACAGCCTGTTTCTTTATAGTAGGTATATAAAAAAACAATATCAAGAAACCATGAGTTGTTAACTCTTTGGCTTGTTAATATGGATATCCCAACCCTTTGGCCTTGATTCCATGATAGGTATCGTAAATCTGGGAGAAATGTGGCTTTTCTGCCTACCACCGGGCATGAACCAGGACCACAAGAAGTTCGTCACCCGAAGTCAGATTTAACCAACTGCAACAGCGAGCCGGGCTTCTTTATAGTTAAAATCCCTGTTTTTTCACGTGAGGTTTCTTCCCCCCCCCCCCCCCCCCCCCCCCAAAAAAATTTAGCTAAGAATAAGGACACTTAAAAGAATGCAAGCACAGGAAAAAGAACCTGCCTGTACAAAATTCTTTTTTCTGTGTGTTAACTTTGGGAAGCTCAACTTCTTGTTCACATTCACCGGCTGTAAACTCCAGTGGAAAGTTCTCACTGTTGGTTCACTTCTGGACTTCTAGTCTTTTCCCAGAAACTGAGTGTTGCGTGTGCATCAGATTTATAGTTATGACTCATATGCATGCAACTGTTGGTTCCTTACCTCTCAGGCAGGTGCACTCTGACTTCGAAGGATGCTCTCAATTAGCTGACTCTTACGACATGCTTTTGGGTAGGCAGTGGGTCTATTCTTTTTTTCACCTATAATAGGGTCCCGGAACCCACATGGAAAGGGGAAGCATATATTCTTGGGGACGCTGCAGCAAAAAGAAAACATGTAAATGTGAATTAATGCAATGGTTAAATAGGCAATTCAAAAACAAAAAGTAAGAGAAACAGATTTAAAGACACGACACAGTCACACACCCTGACAAAAATCAAAGGACTGAGAAAAGCTAAAGTTCTCAAGTCACAATAATAGGCTGGTATAAAATACATGCAAGCATCCAGTTCAAATCCAATGTTGAAGTGAGTACTCAGGTCCACATAAACATGAATACAATAAACTTTTCTATTTGAAAAAAAAAAAAAAAAACATTATTAGATACACAAATCACCATCTCCAAAATGAAGGTTGGTTACCCTGCACCTGTTGTTGTCTTTGGGAATATTATGTTCAGGCCCCCTAGTCTCTTCCATGGTGTGACTCTCATACTGTCACCCAAAAGCCAGGAGAGTAAGGTTTAAAAAAAAAAATAAAGAAACTTTTTGCCATGTAAATCAAACCTTAGTACTTGAAGATCATAAGCCTATATTTACTGCCTGTTTTACTTTTAGCACCATACATGGCAGGGGTGATTTGTAGCCCATGTATTTAGGTCCCAATGGTTTAACAGTCCTCATGACAGCATAGGCTGGACATTTATTTTTGCTCTGATAGAATAAAACGTGATGATCACACTGATGATTCAAACCTGAGACATCAGAATAAGAGAACAGTGTTTTAACTATTCTTTGAATTCTACAAAGAGACAGAATGAAAGACAATGACAAGATACGTGACGGCACAGAGACACTCGGTAATTAAAGTTGCACAGAATAATAAGACAAACAAGCGACCACATGAGACGCCCTTCTGAAAATACATCATACAATTATTTCAAAAAGAAATCACAATTTGGCAAATAAGATTATATATATAAATATAGGACTCTACACTGGGTATAATGTATGAATGAACAAACAAACAAACTTTATAATGAAAGGTTTTAGAATCAGGCACCCCAGCCTGTCTAATATTCTTTCCTTCAATCTTACAACAGCAGCTAGAATTTATACAAAATAAAAAAAGAGGCGACGAGAGCTGACCTCAAACCGTATTATCTATCTATCTATATAGTCATAGATTCAGCTAAATCAAAGAAGAATTAAAACATACATTCTTCTATGTTTGACCCAGGATGTAACCTTAGTGCGCCGGTTCACAGCAAAGCTGTGTTATTTGAGCCTTTCAGCAAACAACTTCTTCAGGTATTTGTTACCTGGAAATGAATCATTCTGTTTACATCCACAAAACCAGAATTCTGAAAATAAGTCATTAACAAAATCTTGTGTATCAAAGTCATCACCCATCCATCAATGGTTGTTCAGAGCACCAAAACTGGCTTTAACTTATTTACAGAAATTCTTACAATTGTAATTGTATTAAGAAGTTCCTTTCCCCTGGGGTTTCAGGACCCCATTCTGGAGAGACAAGGACAGACCCACTGACCTCCTAACAAGCATGCGGTAAAGGGTGACCAATAAAGGGTGTTTTTTTAAAAGACCGAATGCATTTGCCTGAGAGGCAAGGAACCAACAGCCTGCAAATGAAAATGCAGGATCTGTAATATGGATGTGCACTCAAAGCTCAAGTTCTGGAACGAGATTATGGTCGAGAAGCTGGTGAAAAACCTAAAACTCTCTGCTGGTTTACAGATGGTGAACGCTAAACAGAAGAAGAAGAAGAAGAAAAAGAAGAAAGAACAAGACGAAAAAGAAGTGAAAAGGTAAAGGCAGTTCTTTGGCAGTTACTGTCACTGTGGTGTGAAGTATTAGGCAGGCTTAGACAAGATGGGTTTGACTACTTCCATTCCTTGACCCTGTTCCTACCCAGACAGTTGTGCTAACTGGTGGCTAGTTTTGTGAAGCTGGGTTGACCCTAGAGCTGTCATTGTTAATGAACAGGTTCTTTGAAGAGCGTTGCTTTTGTCTCGGCATGCGTGAAAGTTTCTCTAGCCACTTCTCCAGCCCAACATGCTTTCACAGCAATGCATCTTCAATGTCTTGTATCCACATCTGCAGAGGTCTGCCTCTGTTTCTGTTAACTGTACTCCCTCATCCTTGAGCTGTACTGGTTGGAAAAAAAAATACCGCCTCAGCTGGGTATTGAACGCTAACCCTTGACTTGGCAACCACTCTCCTATTATACCTATAAAGTCCACAGCACTAAAACTATAAAACAAAAAACCCACCCCAAAAATCTTGTACAATTTAATAGAACTGAAAACAAACAAATCATCACTTTACAGACATTTCTCTACATTACTAAAGATTTAACATGCACATCCTTCTTTCGGCTTTGTTTGATCATCCTTGAGTTTAATTGGATCGGGGAAATCACTGCACAGCTCCACGTCTGTTTCTTGTGCCATGGCATTTTTGGCCACTGCCTGGAATGCTTGCTCCACATTTATTGCCTCTTTGGCCGAGGTCTCAAAATAGGGGATATCCCCTTTACTGTGGCACCATCCTTGCGCTCTGCGTGCTGATACCTTTTAAGAGATTCAGTACAAAATGTTAAATCTCAATGTTGTTGATAACAAAAAAATAATATATTATTCCCAAATATTACTCAACTAGTTTAACAGTGTAGGGTTTCTGTTAAATTCAAGTTAGAATAAAGTCACTGTTCAAGAAGCATTCTGTTTTAGACTGCAAAATGTGGAGAAGCAAGATCGCAAATAATAGTAGACAAGGCACTTCATAGTGATCATGATGAATTACTCACTTATATACTTTGTCTAATGAGGTGAGTTCTTAAGAGCTATACAGAGCCATTTTAGATGTATGAAAGTGAATCATATAAGGCAACAGATTAGTGAGAAATTATGCAGGAGCTGTAACCATGTGGTTTTATAAGAGACTGATTCTGGGGCCCTACTGCTGCAGGGGAAAAAAAAAAAGGGGGGGGGGGAACAGAGTCGAAGGAATGTTTGCTTCACAGCTGGAGTGCATTTGCCTGAATGGCGATGAACTAATAGCCTGCATCTGTAAAATGAATGTACAAGTAAATCTCAGGTTCTGGAACAAAACAAACTCTAGAAGTGGGTGAACAATAAGAACTCTATGCAGGAGTTTACAGCCGATGAATGCAAAGAAAAAGGAGAAGACGAAAGTACATTTATGAGAACATCATCGGCAAAGTTATCATGCCTTCTGACTCAATGTAATTGCCTAGAAGCCAGTCTGGCTTTGAATTGTTTATATATACTAACAATTTTTTTTCTATCTAAACAAATGTTAAAATTTTTTTTTTAAACAGCTGACTTTATTTAATTCAGATTCAGGAACTGTAATAAAATAAAATATCAGAGAGAAAATATCAAAGTCAGAAGAAAAATATCACAATAGATATAAAGACAGGCACAACAGAAGAAATAAAATATAAAGCCAGAGAACATAATATAAAGTCACAGACGAAGTATAAAAAAAGACGTAAAATATAAAGAGATAAAGTATTAAATCACAGATTTAAAAAAAGTCTCACCGCTCGGTTTTCCAAGTCAATCTTGTTGCCAATAACCACAAAAGGGAAGTTTTCTGGGTCTCTAGGGGAAGCCTGGATAAGAAACTCATCCCTCCAACTGTCCAGGGAGCGGAAGGTGTTAGGCATGGTGACATCAAACACAAGGACGCAGCCGTCGGCACCTCGGTAAAAGGCAACACCCAATGACTGAAAGCGTTCCTGGCCCGCCGTGTCCCATATCTGTGCAAGAGGAAATGCAGAGTTTGATGTAAAGTAAATAAAGAACCTGTTTACATCACTGGTGTTTTGGGCATAAGGTGTTGGAACCTGGACTTTTTCCCTAGGGGAAACTAGTGCCAGTACTCACCATAAACTGTCTTAATAAAAATGGCTGTACATCACCATAAAGTATGTATCACAGCAGTGCCGGAAAAAAAAAGACTGCATAAAAAAGATGCTGGTGCCGTTTCCCAGAGTCTATTTAGGCTGGGTCGACTAGAAGCTAAATTTTTTTCAAAATTTTAATCCACCTTTAAGTGTATTAAAAACCAAGACCTTTGGACTGATAGTTTCTAGCCACTGTGCTACTACTGCTCCTCATTCTTTTCAAGTAAACATTTGTAAAATATGATGCGCCCTGCCCCTTTCAAGTAAGTCCTATTTCTTCTTCTTCGCGTTCACCAGCTGTAAACTCTGGTGTAAAGTTCTGGTTGTTCGTCCACTTCTGGACTGCAGTCCTGTTCCAGAACCTGAGTGTTGCGTGTGCATCAGTTTTACAGATCTGATTCAATTGAATGCAGACTGCTGGTTCCTTGCCTCTCAGGCAGATGCACTCCGACTTCAAAGGAAGCTCCCCAGTTAGTCGACTCTTACGACATGCTTTTGGGGAGGCAGTGGGTCTATTCTTGTTTTCCCCACAATAGGGCCCCGGAACCCACACGGGGGAGTCCTATTTTAACCACAGTGACAAACACCCATGAAAAACGTAAATGTGCAGATGCAGTATGTTTATGTGGTTCTTTAGCTAGCTGTGTGCTTTCTTCACTGTTGAAATCTTGTTGGATGCTGCGTGTGAGTGATTTATATAATGAGTGCAAACATCAATACTCCCACCATCTATGAAGTTTTTGTAGTGATCTGTTTTGGTCGAAGAAGCGAACCCAAAAGTTCAGGAAAATCGCTGTTTCACAATTTTGTCTTATTGGTAGAATTTTCAGAAGTTTCACATTTACTGATTTACGACATTGTGACAAGAAACATTGGATACAAAACTGTTTGCGTCAGACTGGTTCCGAAAACATCAACCGATGAACTCGTGCAGAAATGCACCATTTGGCTCAATTTTTGCAGCGCTATCAAAATGAGGGAGATGTATTTTTGGGGCACAGTGTTACTGAAGATGAAACCTGGATTTCCTATACAAACATCGAATCAAAGCAACAGCGACACTCATTCATGTTAATCAAAAGCAAGCCTAAAAAGTTCATGGGCTCTGTTTTATGTGACGAAGAAAGGGTCGTGTTTATTGATTTCCTTGAAAGTGGAAAGACCGTTAATGTCAAAGCCTATTGTGACACTCTGATAAAACTTAAGACGTGCCATCCAAAACAACAAACATGGGTTGCTTGTCATCTGGAATTGTGCTTTTGCACGATAATGCCCGATCTAATGTTGCAGATGGAACTGTTCAATTGTTGCAAAACAATTCATGGGATATTGTTGACCACCTGCCATGAGGCCCTGATCTGGCACCAAGTGATCACCAACTAGTCAGGCACCTAAAGAAGTGGCTGGCATCCCACTGGTTTGAAACTGATAATGAACTGCCGACAGGCATTAATGAATGGTTCAAGACACTAGACCTCTATGACATTGGAATTAGGAACCTGGTGCCACGATGCCAAATATGTGTTAAAGTCAATGGTAACTATGTTGAGAAATAATGTAAATGTGTTGTTCACTTTTGGCTGCAATAAATCATTTTTATACATGATTAAAAAAAAAATTATTGTCTTTTTTTAAATTTTATACCAGGACTTACTTAAAAAACATGCTTCATACTTCCAGCAGAATGAAAAAAATTGTCTAAAAACATAACTGGAAAACATAAAAGAATATATCAGCTTTATGAGACCAATTACAGTAGATGAACTCCCTGTGCGGGTTCCAGGGCCCCATCTACCAAATCAACAGTGATATGGGGCTCATCCTCCGCATCGACTTGCTGCCTCCTTACAAGCATGTCGCAAGAGCTTACTAATAAGGGGTGTTTCCTTTGAAGGCAGAGTCCATCTGCCTAAGAGGCAAGGAACCAACAGTCTGCATATAAATAAGCTGGATATGTAAAATGGATTTGCATGCAAAACTCTCGTTCTGGACCAAGACCAAAGTCCAGGATTGCATGAACAACCAGAACTTTCCACTAGAGTTTACAGCTGGTGATTGTGTAGAAGAAAAAAGAAGAAGAGTTGGCAAACCAACGAAGCCGATTTTTATCCTGGCCAAATTTGTCTCTTTTTTTTCTAATGATGTAACTGATTCTTGACAGTCTAAAATGGGAAATGTACTAGAAAGTAAAGTGGCCAGTATAATACTGACCATAAAACCAATCTCATGCCGACTGAGATGTATTTATTAAGGCCAATGACATAAGGGTCTTTTACTTTTAGCAATAACAAACAATCCATACCTGCATCGTCACAAGCCTATCATCCACCATGACCTCTTTGGTCAGGAAGTCAGCTCCTATAGTGGCTTTGTACTGGTTGCTGAATTTTTTAGCCACATACTGGTTCATTAGGGAAGTCTTTCCAACACTGAAACAGCACAAATGGAAAATTTATATCACTTTCTTGTTGTTGTTTTTTAATCACATACATGCACGCACATATGCACATACATATGAGTTAATGTTTGTTTACATTTTACATAATATCTAAAGAGAAGTAGCGAAGATGCTTTTCTCATACTCTCTCATACTCTGAAAGTCGACAGTCTTTTTCATGGAGTGTGTTGTTAGTTTCACATGTGCAGTTTTTATGAACATCCCTGGTACTTCTGCTAGTATATATATATATATATATATATATATATATATATATATATATATATATATAAATATATATATATATATATATATATATATATATATATATATATATATATATATATATATATATATATATATATATATATACTAGAAAGAGAAGGCCAGTCACAGAGATGAATGAAGGTGTGTCTTCTTCGCGTTCACTCACTGTATACTCTGGCAGAAAGTTCTGTTTGTTCGTTCCACTTTTGAACTTTAGTTCAAAGATTGCATCATTGAACATCAAAGGCTCAAAATGCTGAAGAAAAACATAACAAGCTTAAAAATTATGTCTGCCTCTTTTTTGTTTGTGAGCCAATACCAGCAGTCTAGTTATCAGTCTCGACTTTCCCTTGAGTGTCGAGTGTCGGCCAGATCCCATGGTAACTCCTCGCGGCGCCATTCTCCTCAGACCGTAATGATCTATCTGTCCCTCTGTACTGTTCACTTGCTCTCAAAACACCCAGCTTGTCATTCATCAATTCATCACCAAGTGGTGCAGAACTGGCCAGTCTGTCTACCTGCTCATTTCTCAATATACCAGCATAACCTGGAGAAAATTTCCAAAAAGGATGCTAACTACCTGGGACCTCTGAAATGATACTTGCCACTCTAAATGGAGCAGACAATCTCCACCCTTCTCAACATGCTCTGTGAGTCAAGTTACAATCACGACATGTGTGTACAGCTGATTCTCAAGCCAGCAGTGACTGCCTCCACCTAGATTCTCAAACTAGACATTGTGATATCATATGCCAAGCCTTGCTGCACTAAGCGACATCCATTCGCTTTTTCCATGAACCCCCATGCACTTTTTTGCTCTTCGACACAGAGTCATCTGCATAGATAATCACATCACATGAATCATTTGTTGAACTTCTGATTTTGCAGCACTAGCTGGCCAGTTCCTGAACTCACAACCTAAAGTGAAAAGAACCCTATACAAGTCTGAACTTACTCAGACTCCTTCTTGGCATTCCATCGCAACTGCCTCCACATGATTCCCAATGGACAAGCTTCTATCAAAAATGATACCCAGGTACCTGTTTGCTTTCTCTTTTGATGTTACTGTTATGAATTGTGAGGCTTAGAACATTAGCTCTTACTGTACTATTGCCCAGAGAGCGCCATAAAACAGCTGCCTTTTCTGAGTTGATAACAGCACCCATTTCTGCACACCAGTCTGTCACTTTGTCTAAAGTTGCCTGTAGAGCTTGGGCTATCCGCTGCCTATCACATGATAGCGTAAGACTATATACACAATATTAAACTCACCAAGGTACCTAAAGAAGAACCTGGAATGGCAACATCTAGAAACAGACAGTTAAATTCTCATAAACTTGTTTAACAAAGGGAAGACAGAGAAAGATGACTGATTCTGTGCACTAGTGCTTCTATCGATACACATCCATTACCCTAACAGGCCGAGGGCTATCTTAGATTAACATCATCAAGGCGCCAAACAGCCCCCCCCCCCCCCACCAAGCATGAATAAGTGGAATAATATACTCACCCACTGTCGCCCAGAATAATTACTTTTAAGAGCACCTTCTTTCGGGATGCCATTGTAAATCCGTTTATGTGATTCCTTCTTCAAATTGATGCCTCCTGTCAGAACAGAACCAGAGTATTTATTCAATACAGGGGCATCTCAAAATATGTGACTTTAAGATCATTAAATGCATTCCCAAAATGTGTAGACTTTCTAATAGGAATTTCCAGGCTGTTCATAAAAAGAGAAAGGTTGCTAAAGGAGAAAATCACTGCAGATAAGTTAACAGCTGAGCATCTGAGAAGAAGCATGTGACAGCAAAAATGGTCCTCATATCTCCTGTTCTAATTATGGACAATTTTTCTTAACGTTAGTTGGTCTTGTTGGTCACCACAATGGGCTGTATTTTTACCATACCTCTCCGAAGCACACTATAACATGATCATCTGGTAAAGACAGAAAGATGCCATCAAAACAAGAGATATATATTTTAGCTATTCATGATAAGTTTCACTGATAACTTTCACTAACTTTCATTAGAAAAAAAAAAAATAACAGCAATCCTGTTACACAATAGTTCTCAATTATTCTAAAAAAGATATCAAACCCCCCCCCCCCCCCCCCCCCAAAAAAGTAGACCAGCGAACTTAACAATATAACACACACATGGAATTTAGATCTGCAGACCCCAATTATATCTAAAGGTTTGCCACAGACCCCATACATTTTAAGACATACTGAAAAACTTATACAAATGTTAGAATCGCACCAAAAAAAATATTACAATCCTCTTCTTTATCATCATTCATTCAAGTGAGGTAAATGCATTGCGGCTGTTAATAGCATAGCTATGATATTTTCACCCTTCGGCTGATACATCCAACTTCGGATATTTATTATCTGGGTTAGCCTTCCTAGCTAGTTGGGGCTGGGGAGGGAATTTGTGGCCTCCTTAGTGTGGTAAGTTTGTGATCCCCGATCTACAATTGCTGTGCCCAGATCAGGGCAGCCACATGTGGATTGATCGATCCTCAATCTATCTACCGATTTATGAATCAAAACGAAAAATCAACTACTTTCAACCTACTCCAAGTATGGTTTGGTTTCTCTGTGCCAAGTACATTGGCTAAGAAGTGTTAATTGCACCAAAACGAGTGGCTTGGACCAGTACTCTAGCACGCAGTGAGGGTTGTTGGGGAAGGGGCTGCTGTGCACGATTATTTGCACTCCCGTGAAGGCATGGGCATTCCCTGACTTTCAAGAGGCTTCCATACACGCAGAGTCGATGCATAGCACTCTGGCACTTGGCTCACCCAAGTAATCATCTCCTGCATATGACTGCTTAATGTGTAGACTTTCTAATAATGTAATCAGCTTGCTCACAAAAAGTGATAAATTTTCAGTCTGTTCATAAAAATAAAATAGCTATAGTGACAATGGAGAAAATGAACCTTTCCTGTTAAGAAGCAGCTACAGACCCTAAGATTTCAATTCCCTGCACAAATAGGCATCTCGTGTTGAGGAAAGTCTTCCACACAGGGTTTCATGACTGCAGTTACCACAGCACATGTGTAAAATGTGCTTCTTCTTAGACTCTCAGCTCTCAAGCTAGCTGCATTTGGAACTTCCACTTCATTCCTTTTAAATTATCAGATCATTATTTACAAATGAAAAGGTGTTTGAAGAAAAGAGAAACCATTACACTGGACAGGGTTTTATCCCATCCAGCACTGTCTCTCTCTTTGGAATGACTAGCCGCTCTGCCAAGAGATTTGCATAAAGCACAAATTCTGTAGCTCTATTAAAGAGCCTGCAGGATCTCCCAAACCACCTGCACCTGATAACCAAATGAGTCAGTCCTAAACTGAATTTACAGACCCCAGAAAGCAAGGCAACTCCGCTAAGACCGGTCCCAAGCCCGGCTGTAAAAGGAGGAGGGTCTGGCTGAACCTGAGTGCTTCATGCGTCTCCGGAAGTAGTGGGTAACCGTGAATCAGCCAGACGGCCTGCATGGAGGCCGCAAGGAGGCAGCCCCTCCACCGTGCAAAGGCACAACAGGCCAATCACCTGTTTGCCTTAAACCACGATTACAAGTAACTACAGAGAGAAAACCGGACGGATCTTAACGGCGATGAACAGGCATGGCTTACGGACTACGATTTATGGAACATGGAATATAAGAGGCATTAACGGAAAGGAAAACGAGTTAGTAGTGGAGATGAGGAAAGCAAAATTAGGAGTCTTGGCTCTGACTGAAACCAAGAAAAAGGGGCAAGGAATCACAGATCACAATGGAAGTATGCTGCTCTACAGTGGTGTCCCTATGACGGAGAGAGCCAAGGGGGGTGTTGGCTGTATTGTGGCCAGGAATCAAGTTAGTAACATCAAGGGATGGAAATTCATCTCAGAGCGAATAATGGTGTTAGATCTGAAAGAAGAAGATAAAATTGTCAATTGTCATTGTGTACGGGCCAAATGAAGATGAGCAAGTAGATGTTAAAGAAGAATTCTTTGAACTGCTCCAAAGAACCATAGATGACTGTCACAATAAAATTATCCTCCTAGGAGATCTAAATGCCAGAGTAGGAAATGATCACTCTAGATGAGGTGGAGTGATCGGGAGATATGGTGAAGATGTTTTGAATTATAATGGCAAGCGACTTCTCAGATTCTGCAGGGAACAGAACCTTGTCATTACAAACACAAAATTCCCCCACAAGCGTATACATGCATACACAAGATGTGAACCTTCAAAGAATGAAAAATCCATCATTGACTACCGCCATAGTTAGGAAAAGTTCATTCAAGTTTGTGAGAGATGCCAGAGATTGGAAGTGACCACTATCTGGTCACAATAAAGAGAACAACCGAAAGAACTGCTCCAACAAGGCAACACCGACAACCGTGCAAGAAACCAAGCAACCAAGAAAGGATGAGGATTAAGGATACAAGCGAAGAGAGCCAGATATTAAGGCTAGATACCAGGAGCTAATAGTGAAAGCAATAGGAACTGAAGAAGAATCATCAGAGGACACTGAAACCCTCTGGTGCAGATTCAAGAATATCCTCACAGCAGCTGCAGTAGAAGCATGTGGTGAAGTCCCGAGTGGAAGGCGGGGACATAGGACACCTTGGTGGACGGAAGAAGTCAAATTGAAAATAGGAGAAAAGAAAAGGGCATGGAAGCAATACCTGGCAGCCAGGAACACAGCTGAAGAAATAGAAAAATATAAACAATATGTGGCACTCAGAACAGAGACCAAAAATATTGTGCTTAAAGCAAAACAGAAATTATGGGAAGAGTTTGGAGAAAAGTTGGAAAAGAATGCAAGAGAAAACCAAAAACTGTTCTACAAGACCCTTAAGAACATGAGGAAGGAGAAAGAGTGCCCACTTAAATTCATAAAAGACAAGGAAGGGGCTCTGCTTACTTCTACAAATGATATCATGGGCAGATGGAAAGAATACTTCTCAGAGCTCCTCGGCGTTGAGGGAAGTCATGACCCAGAAATAACGGACCTCACTGCTGAGAAGGAATTCAATCATGGGGAAAATAAAATCAGGATGGAAGAATTGAAGGCAGCTATTGAGAAGATTAAGCTGGGAAAAGCAGCAGGTCGTGATGGTATAACACCAGAGATGGTCAAATATATGGGAGTCAAAGGTGAGCGCCTTCTACTGAAGGTTCTCCAGGCAGCCTGGTGTAGCAAAACTATACCAAAAGATTGGGAGATTGCCATCATTATACCTATATTAAAAAAAGGTGATAACAGACAATGTGAAAACCACAGAGGCATATCCCTCCTCTGCGTTCCCGGTAAAAGTTACTCTAGAATTCTTGAGCAGAGACTTAGAAGTCTGGTAGAGCCACAGCTGGACGAGGCCCAATGCGGCTTCAGAGTAAACCGAAGTACTCAAGACCTTATCTTCACACTGAGACAGATGAGTGAAAAAGCCCTGGAATATAAGAGTGAGATGCACTTATGTTTTTTGGATCTGAAAAAGGCATTTGACAAGGTACCCTGGAACAAGCTCTGGGACAGCTTGGCAGGGAAAAACATCCCAGCACCCCTGATCAGTGCAATACAGAGTTTCTACAAAAGGTGCAGAAATTATGTAAGAACAGCAGACCAAAAGTCAGAAGAATTCAAGACCACCAGCGGTGTTAGACAAGGTGATATTCTCTCACCTTACCTCTTCATTCTTATGATGGATGATGTCATCAAGACCTGTAAGGAGAAGACAAAGAAGTAATCTGTAGGGTACTGGAAGATGAGACCAATCTGTATATCAGAGCTGGCTTTTGCAGACGATATGGCCCTGATAGCTAAATCAAAGGCACACCTTCAGTCCAACTTACTTGTCTGGAAGGAAGAGCTTGAAAAGAAAGGGATGACCATCAGTATCTCCAAAACTAAAACCATGGTGATCTCAAGAGAGGAGAAGAAACACCAGATCATGATGGGACAGTATGCATTGGAGCAGGTTAACCATTTCAAATACCTTGGAGTTGTACTAGACCAAAACGGAGGCATTAAGACTGAGCTGGCTACACGAAAAGCAGCTGCTGGGAGACTCTTCCAGGCCATAAACCGAGGGTTTCTTAGCAAAAGAGAAATTGGCAAGAGGACGAAAATGGCTTTTTACCAGTCTTGACCTATGGGTGTGAGTCATGGGCAATGACAACAGCTCACAGAAGCCAGCTGCAGGCCTCGGAAATGAGATACCTGAGAAAGGTGGTCCAAGTGACAAGAAGGGACAAAGTCCGCAATCAGACAATACGTCAAGATCCTGATACCCAGCCCTTACTAACCCGAATAGATCAGTCACACTTACGATGGTTTGGATATGTATGCAGAATGGGAGAAAATCGGCCACCATGGCAAGCATGGGAGGCTAAGAACCAGACCTCCGGGACGACCCAGGGTGCGCTGGGAAGACAACATCCGACAGTCCCTCACTGACAGATGACTGGAATGGAACAAAGCCAGAAAGAAAACTGCTGATAGAGACGTCTGGCGATCTCTCTGGCAAACCTCTACACCCCAAGGTAGAAGAGGAGCGACTAAGTAAG